CATGCGCCTTTCCCAAAGGTTCATCACGACAACCCTGCAAGGGAGGCTGGGAGAACGCAGACAACCCTGCAAGGGAGGCTGGGAGAACGCAACACCCTGAAGTCACCTTGTGCGGGGAGACCTGAATCTGGGTCTTCCTGGTCTGAGTCTGGCACCTTTGTAACACTCTCCTGGCTGTCATATTCGCCCCCCCCAAAAGTCCTGTTTTGGGCCTTGCACAAACTTTGCCAAGATTAGGGTGCAAAAAAGACACCGGCCTGCATAAAAAAGCAGATATGTTTGACTCAAGGCCCAGGAATTTAGGGCAAACGCCAGCAATTACTGCTCTGTGTGTGTGTTTAAGTTTCTAGTCCTCAACGCAAAAGTCATTTCCACCCCCACTTTCTTTTGGGCTCCCAATACATTGCAACTCTCCAAATGTGTGGATCCGTCCACTAATAAAATGCACTCTTGTCATTCCTAGCCAATTTTTTTAAATTATTTTACAAAGCTGCTACAACATAATTATAGCGATCTCTCCAGGCTGGTCCTCTACCCTACCCCACAAGCAAAATGCAGATTTATAAAATGCTCGGTTAACTGGCTAAAGCTGGCTCGGTCTCTTCTTGTTCAAGCAGCAAATTCCGACTTTCCTTTCCCAGCCTGCACAGACCTCCCTACGCAACTTTTTTGCTAGACATCCCCAGCAGTATCTTTCTGCAGAAAAATGATCCTTTATTTGGTTCTCTTTCCATGCAATAAAAGAGACAGGGTGTTGGAGAGAGAGAGAACAGCATTTTGCAGAAACTCGCCAGGGCGAAGGGGGACGCGCCAACGTCCCCTTCTGCATTGGCCAAGCCGCTCGCCTGCGGCCTGCAAATTGTCCCACTTCCCTTTAGTCCCAGGAGTGAAATCTGCCCGGGGAACGTGTTCAGGTGTGGGAAGCGAAGGCAGCAGAGGAGGGTTCAGACAACAGCGATGCCCAGTTACTGCTCTGGGTTCCTGCGACGGGCCTGGAAAAAGTGGGATCAAACTAGCATCTGGGGCTTAAATCCAGATGGCTTACACTGAGCAATGACGGACAGGGCCAGAATTGGCTCTGCGGCAAACAATCCTGTCTGCTTTAGGAAATGGTTAAGAAGAAGGCTGAAGAAATGTCTTCTGGAGCAGGGTTCCTCAACCTTGGCGATTTGAAGATGGGTGGACTTCAACTCCCAGAATTCCCCAGCCAGCCTTGCTGG